ATTAGACTTACAAGTCCAGGAAGTGCACAGAACTCCAAACAAAAGGAATCCAAAGAGGACCACACCAAGACACATCATAATTAAAATTCCAAGAGCAAAAGACAAAGAGAGAATATTAAAAGCAGCAAGAGCAAAGAAGGTAGTTATCGTACCTATAAAGGAGCACCTATACGATTGTCAGCTAATTTCTCAACAGAAACCATGCAGGCCAGACGGGAATGGCAAGAAATATTCAAGGTGATGAATAGTAAGAACCTACAGCCAAAGATAATCTATCCAGCAAAGCTATCACTCAGAATTGAAGGTCAGATAAAGAGCTTCACTAATAAAAAAAAGCTAAAGGAGTTCATCAACACCAAACCATAATTATATGAATTGCTGAAGGGGGTTCTTTCAGAAGAGAAAGTAAATAAAGATAAAAATTATGAACAACAAATACGTAACTATCAACAAGTGAATCTAAAAACCAAGGAAATTAAAAAAAAATCTGATGAACAATATTAACTGTTGAATATAATAGAATCAGAGGTATGGAAGGGGAGTGAACTGACGATTCTTGGGGAAAAGGGGAGAGGGGGATGTGGGAAGAGACTGAACATAAACTCTGCACCTATGGATGAGGACAATGGTGAGTGGGGAAAGGGCAGAGGGTGGGGTGGGAACCTGATGGAGGAGAGCAATGGTGGGGGGGGGGGGAAAGGAACATTTGTAATAATATGAACAATAAAAACTTAAAAAAAAATCTTAAGATGGTCTGAAGTGGAAAAAGACTGGTTAACTTGGATGAACAGAGAAGTGATTCCATATTATTTAATGAAGTGAATTGCTATTATCTCACACATGTTAGTGTATTACAGCATATCTTTAATTGAAATAATATGTGTATAATAAAACACCAGGAAGATTAGTGTAGAATTATTTTTATTTTAGAATTGGAAGGGACCCTAAGGATGAATAAACAGGTTTAGATAAACTTAGAAATTAACCAACTGTGACTATCAAACATTCCAAATGACTCTGAGAAAACGGTTTTGTTTCAGCTGGGGCAAAGTGAATGTGTTAAAGTAAGTGTTGTGGAAAAAACATTTTCCAGTCTCTGTGGATGCAATAAAAACTCTCCTGAAATTTTTATATATGTTCACACATTAGAATATAGCCCAACTTACTACATATGTCTGTACCTAAATGGTTTGATTTAGCCAGTGCTAATCTTATAGGTTCTTTGAGGGTTGCTAAAGTGATTTCTTTTAAAAATATGTTTTTGCTGATTTTTAGAGTAAGAGAAAGAGGGAGAGTAAGAGAGAGAGGGGGAAGGAGAAAGGGGAGAAACATCGACCATTTGCCTCCCATATGAATCTTGATAGGGTTCAAACTCATAATCGGTATGTGCCCTGAATGGGAATCAAACAAGTGACGTTTCAGTGCAGAGGAAGATGCTCCATCAACTGAGCCACAGTGACCAGGGAAAGCTATTTCTTTATCAATAAAAATGATCTACCTTTTCAACTATTTTAAAACTCAGGGCAATAAGCATTGTACTAGATCATTAGAGAGCTCGTGCAGTCTGGGGTCCGGAGTGTGCATGGTGAAGTTAGACTGCTTAGGTTCAAGCCCTGGTTCAACCACCTGTTGGCTGGGTGACCCTGGGTAAGGTACTTAACTTTCCCTGGCCTCTGGTTCCCCATATGTGAAGTGGGGACAATACTTACCTCATGATGAAATGAATGAATGCACGTAATCATTTGTGCAGGGACTGACCTACAGCTCTCAAGTGTTAACTGTTATTAGTCCTTATAAACTGATTTTAGGAGACCACGCCTGTATGTCATTTTTGGGATCATCTATGACAACCCATCAGGCCAGTGGCAACATGAAGATATGGTAATACTTCTACTTGGGGGTAAGTATCTTTATCAAACTGCATGTAAGGAAACATTTTTCAGAACAAGGACCCACAGTGACTTACTTCTTCCTGGGAAAGAAATTTCAATGTCAGCTACAATGCATACTGCTGAACTGAAAACTTACTATTATTATTATTATAATATTATTTTTTCCAATTTAGAGAGTAAGCCAGGTAACGTTTGAATCTACAATACTTTGGTTTAAAGATCTCACTGTACATCATATGTGTCCTCAACTATTTCCCCTGGGGAGACTGATCATATGGGGACTTTGAACTGAACGGCCCGAAAACAGAGAAAACGGCAACTTGAGGTCCAACCTGAAAACTAACTGCACTTTGAGATCCACACCGTTTCTTGTTGGCGAGAGTTCTCATTCACCACCCAGTGGTCCCCGATAGCATCACATCCCCGTTTTTGCTTTTGAAAGGCTCCGGTGAACCAAGTGAGGGCAACATTAGCTCCCGTATCAAAGGCTGATACTTATTCCATCAAGATGGGAAATGAGAGTCTGAAGTATTCTAAGAAGCAATAAAGCTCCCATTTTCATGTAAACCACTCAAAATAACCACCCAGATCAGCAAACCAGAAGAATGCCCTGAAGAAAAATGGCCTGTGAATCGGCAGCCCGGCAGCCCCGCAGCCCTTTCAGCTTCATTTTAAGCAACAGACAAGTATTTAACGAAATCATTCTCCACTGAGACTATTAAAGTGGCTTTGCCATTGCTAGCGGAATGAAATTTCAGACCCACTTAATTTCAAGAAATTGACTGAAATTCAAATCACAGATCGGGTGTACGTTAAACAGTGCTATGAGCTCTACCCACTATTTATGCTGATTACAGCATTGAAGTGGCTGGACTCAGATAATTGAGTTAAGAGTGCGAAATCAGAAATGCCAAGTTAATTTCTTAGGTATGTTCACCAAGAGCGCTAACATCATTACAGGGCTTGATGACTGAAAAACATTCCCATTTTCTTCTTGTGCGTTGGTGACATCGTTTAGATGATGTATATTTAGAATACGTCCAGGTTTTCCAGAATTATAAAACCAGGAGGAACGCTGAAGGGCTTCTCGTCCAATGTTCTCATTTCCTCAGTAGGAAAACAAGGCCCAGGAGACGTCGCTTGGGCTCTGGGGTCAGAGGGATCTGAGTCCCAGTTCCAGTTGGGCAAATTCTTCACTGTGTGACCTGGGCTCAGCTATTTAACTCTATCAGCCAAGCATGTCAAACTCGCGGCCCGGCCCACAATGAATATTTTTGTGGCCCAGCTAATAAAAGGATATGTAAGAAATGTTTTCATAAACATTTCATAACTTAACTTTTACAATATCCTGTATACGCAATTATTAATAATGAACTACAACATTTGCTAATGGCTGATTACTATCATCGTGTTGCATTCACTTCTCTTACATGCCTTACGTGCAGGCGCACCATTTCTCTCCACTAACACTAGCAGCGAATATTTTAGCAGCCGACTGCCATATCATTAGTCTTGTACTGACTTGTTTGGTGTGCGCAACACGAAATATTTCGCTTTCGGAGAAAAAGAAAAATAGGTTTCTTTGTGTTATACTTATTAATTTGTGCAGTTATTCAGTGTCTGGTAAGTTGTTCTATTATTTTATGTTAACGATGACTCATTTATTTCAGCCCTTTGTATTCAGCATGTCTCTATCGAAATAAAACTTAGTTTTTATGAAGATTGAAGCTTTTGTTTTTTTGCGGTCCACATAAACATAAACCTTGTTTATTTGGCCTGTGTTAGTTTTTGAGTTTGACAGGCTTGCTCTAAGTCTCAGTTTCTTCACCTGTGTAATGGGGATAACAGTTGTACTAAACGTAAGGGATGTGATAAAGATGAAATAAGATGAACATGCACAGGATTCAGCACAAAGATGGGCACGTTGTAACTACTCAGGAAATGTTAGCGGTTCTGATAATGACTAAAAAGTGACTCATGAACCAGGTCAGCAGCAACCAAACTAGACTTATACGAGTTCCTAGAACATACCAGAGCTTTTTATCATAACACAGTCCCTGTAATAAAGGCTCATGGACACTGACAATTTACATATAACTTCTGCATCAAACAGAAAAAAAACTGTTTTAGACTATAAGCTACTGACTTGGTCAAAATATCAGATCAGCGATCACATGCTGAGATCTCAATTTCATGAAGACTCATTTAGGTTTCCATGAGCAATGGGTGTTACACATTTACCTTCAAAACTGTTTCAGTTCAATTATATGCTTTTAAATAACTCCCACCAAAAGCTGCTCATATAAAAGAAATGACAAGGTATCTTGCCAAAAATAAAAGCTAGGGTTCACTCACTAATGATGTTAAATCTGACGTCTGTTAGTTGCTACGTGGAATAAGTCCAATATTCTTAATTTTTACTGTCAGCCAGATATTGCTCGAACCCCTGACCATCTGCTATGGAGGAAGCAAGACTAAGGGACTCATGGAAGAAGGAGCTAGCGTGGTTCTGCAGTGTGAGAGCTGGATTGGCTAGTACAGACTCCGAGGAATCCTGTAGCCACCAATCACAGATGTCTGGAATGGCCAGTTCTGTCAACATTCACTGCTGTTACGTGATCCAATGCAGAGTTGAATGTTCCTCTTACACTTAAAAAAGAACCATGAAGCCTCATAAAGAATATCAGCTTTATACAACATGTTCCCAGTACTTCTGAGTTTGTTAAATTTGAGTTAATTGGCAGCCTTTTCAGAAAATCAGTATGTAGACTGTCAAGTGGGTGCTGAAGACATTTTCTTGTAATAAAATGATCAATTTTTCCTTCCTAATCTGGACAATGATTTATGTATATTCAATTTGTTTTAGATATTTAAAAATACATGTAAATGTCATGCCTATAAATATATCAAAAAGACATCAATTCAAACTACAACGAGATGAGCTCAAGTATAAACATGAACAAGGCCCCAAGACCTTCCCATGTAACACCGGCGTGACTTAGCATACCAACAGATGAAGAAAACAGCGATGTGAAAAGCGGCAATCTGCATCCATACCCAGCATTTAGTATTTCAGCGATTAGAAATAAAATTGTTTGGCAAACTTACCCGCATTTTTGCACAAGCATCTTGGGTTGATTCTGTCCCCCTGAGCTCTTTAATCAGCATAGAACCTAAATACTAAAACACACACACACAAAAACAATCCAGTGACTTATATGTACAAACACGAGCAGCGATTTAAAAACACACGGTGGAAGTTACCATTGGCTAGCTCCCCTGGCTGTGAGTTGGCGCACGACTTTTAAGAAGGGATGGTAACTAATCCTAACGAATCGAGACTTCCGGAGAGAGGGCACAGTGGAGTTAACCACAGTTCCGAAAGCTGGAAATTGCTCTTTTTTAATGAAACGGCAGTCTTCTTTAAAGACACCATCATTCACGTCATATTTAACTGCAAAATGGGGGCATCTAAAAATGTTTTCCCTGTGTGTGTGTGTGTGTGTGTTTTTTTTTTTTTTAAGCAGCAATATCTGCAAAAAATAAATCACGCTGCCGTCTATGTAATTACAGGGTTGTGTGAGACAGCTGAGGAGCTGAGCCACAGGCACCCCATTTGGGCTGAGTCAGCTGCTTAGGTAATTAACGTTAGGCTGTTCCAAGGCAGAGATGCCTATTTTGGATCCCTTTCCGTCACAGCTGTGTGGCCTCTGGCGGTTGACCCACCTGAGAAGGGGATGGGAGCTTGTAGGGTGGGACAATGTCACCTCGGTTGTTCAGCCACGGAGGGGGCCTCAGTACAGAGGAACAGAGGAGGGCTGAATGGGGTACGAGAAAGGCCGGGAAGCTCTCTTCCTGGAATCACCAGCCACTCAGATTTTAGGTGATGGGACTCCATACTGCCTTAGTACGAACCACCACCATGCCCCAGGTTCTAGCTGGAGCAAACGCGTCTATGTTAGTAAAATGTTTATTTCATCTGGCTATCAAGGGACTCCTCAACTATTTTGTTGTTGTTGCTGTTGTGAATCCTCACCTGAGGATATTTCCCCATTGATATTAAGAGAGTGGAAGGGAGGGGAGAGACACACAGAGAGAAGCATCAATGTGAAAGAGATACATTGATTGGTTGCCTCCCGCACATGCCCCAACCAGGGACGGGGGATGGAGCCTGCAGCCGAAGAACATGCCCTTGAATGGGATCGAACCCCGGACCCTTCAGTCTGCAAGGCAATGTTCTATCCACTAAGCTAAACCAGCTAGGCCACTCCTCAATTTTTTGAAGCTTCAATAGGTTTTCCATCTGTCATTTTTCCTTCTCTAATTTCCTTCAAAAAAAAAAAAAAAAAAAAAAGAGCTCTAGGTGTGTTTTGTTTTACGTGAATTAAGGTAATTATTTTCCTGCGATGACTGAGGAAACCCTGGCACTCTCTAAAAACAGGACTGGCAACCAGTCCTGTAGCCTGGGAAGTCCCGACTGGCAGAGGATGGGAAGGGGCACAGCGTGGCCAGAGGCTCTGAAGGAAGGTGTGTTCAGAAAGCCTCTGGACTTTGGAGGAAGAAGGGGGCAATTCACTCCTACAGATTTTGGGAAATGACTATTGAAATAAATCCCATGTTTCAAGAGTAGCAAGCAGTAAAAAAGGTGCCGATAACACAAAGTGGGGAAAAAAAAAGGCTAAGCTGCTCAAGATAACCAGAACGCCCACATCTTAATTAAGGAAAATGATCTTGGTGAAACCCTTATCTTGTAAGGTATCAGGAAAGTTTGTCTTAATTGAAACACTTGCCAGGCAGTTTCTATGCGCAGCTGAGGGTTCAGCTACTTTTCCTGCTGTAATCATGACAACCACCTGGCCCCCAAACCTATGGTATCTTTTGACCAATTACCGGTTCAGATTACTCACAATTCTCAGCTAAGCTTGATTTCCTCTCCTATTAAAAAAAAATCCTTAGTAATAAATCCCACTGATAACAACGAGAAGAGGTTGGAATTTTTAAAAGGCGGCAGACCCAATGTTTTGAGACCACTGGTGAACGGAGATGTCTGTATATGCTATATTGATACTCATTTCCACTTTCAGATTTCAGTGTACAACATTTCATTTAAAATACAGCCGAAACCGGTCTGGCTCAGTGGATAGAGTGTCTGCTTGCAGACTGAAAGGTCCCAGGTTCGATTTCGGTCAAGGGCATGTACCTTGGTTGCGGGCACATCCCCAGTAGGGGGTGTGCAAGAGGCAGCTGGTCGATGATTCTCTCTCATTGATGTTTCTAACTCTCTATCACTCTCTCTTCCTCTCTGTAAAAAAAAATCAATAAAATATATTAAAAAATATATACAATTATATAATAAGGGAAAATAGATCTTAAGCTCCTACGATTAAAAGGGTTATCAAGCTCTATGTATTTGGGGAAACCATTTTAGGAAGATGGGCATTTTGGTATATTTTCAATATAAAATAAAGAAGCCAGAAATACACCCTCTGTCCCTACTCAGACCCAGATACCGAATGCAAGGTAACTTACGAAAGCTTTGTAATCACAAGACTGGAAGATGAGCTTTTCGGGGTGGTGCTGCCAATACTGAACTGGAGTTGAGGCCGTAGCTTCATTTGGAGGGCGCAAGGTGATAGAAGGTTCTCCCCAGTCTCCTGTCTGAAAATCACATTTATTCCAGAGGTAATATGAGAAGTTGGCAAAGTTCATTCCCTGTGGCTAGCCCGAGTTCATCGTATACACAGGTGTTGCACATGTGCGAATAAATCTGCGTGTCTTACACTAGTATGTATATAAATACTTTCGCTGTTTATTATGGTTTTATATGTATTTCCCAAAGCTGAGTTAATTTTTGAGGTGTGAAAGTTGAGTTATTCTATTGTTAGAATGATACTGCAAGCTAAATAATTTAAAATTAAAGGCCTGTAAGATATTCGTAAGTGGTTTACTAATTCATACTTTCCTGGTACAGGGGAAAGAATGCCTAATCTTTGAGAGCGTTTTCTGTTTTTAAACCTGACTGTCTGACATTTTTAGTTTGAATTGCTTTTATGTGCAGAATACTCAGTTCCCCAAATATCAGGTTCCAAGTATGACAGGTACCATGTCCTTTGAATAATTTTATCTCTGGAGAAAAGCTTCTATGTGATACTAAACAACATTTTAGAAGAAAGGTTTACTAATGGATGGCAACTAGTTTCCCTCCTGACTTCATTAGGATTGACATAATGCCACTGTAATTGTTTTGGCATACACAAATTATGTTTGGTCATATGTGTATATGCATGTCACTGAGGATCCTGGCTCACAAATACAAGCATATAGGCATATGCTGGGATATCATAGAACACATATGCCCAGTAGGGCAGACCCATCATTGGACTTATCATTTTTCACGAGGTTAGCCTCAACTGTTTTATTGCTTTGGCATACCTCAGAGATGCTGCAGGTTCGATCTCAGACCACCGCAATCATGTGAGTATTACAACAAAGACAGTCATAATCTTTATTTTTTATTTTAGTCATAAATTTTTTGCCTTCCATTTGAAAAAAATACAACACCCATGAAGCTCAATGAAGCGGAGCGCAATAAAACCCAGTCTGCTTGAATACGGTGTAGTGTGAGATCTATAAAGTCAAAGGCCTGTGTTGGCAGGCCTTTTCTGAACTCTAGTCTGATTTAGATATTACACATGGGAGATTTCTTACTCTTTCCCCTGGCCAAAATTCTGTTCTTTCTTCTCAAATAGACATAATTAAAACTAGACAGTAGGCAGATTTCCAAAGCCACTCTTTTCTACCCTGGATTTGGCTGGTCTCATAGAATTATGAGAAATTACCTTTCTTAGAAGATAAAAAAATATAAAATGGTCTCATGAGTTCTCAAACCAAGCCAAATCTTGGGTAGAGACCACGTTCCATGGATGTACTAGCATATGGGTTGACAATGTAGGATTTTCAAGGAGTCTAGGATAACAATGCAACATTTTGGATGTAGGTGTTTTGGAGGAGAAAGTCCATGGCTTTCATTAAATTCTCTGAAAGAATATAGAGATTTTTAAAGACTAATAACCACAATTCCCCAGGATGTGTGTTTTGGGGAAGAGGACCAGCGTTTCAATTTTTCCTGTGCACTTGGGACTTCCAGTAAGTGGCCTGTCAGGTGGCTGCCAATGCTGGAACATGTTTAGGCATAGGCTTTGCCTTCTAGAAGTTTCTATCTGGCTTTGGAAATCCAGAAGGAAATTCTAGAGTCCCTTGGGAATGCGTATACCTTTTCATAGAGGGAGAGAGCATCTTTAAGAGGTGTCACCCCAGTCTTATTCAGAGAAGCTCTTTCCTGGGCTTCTCGCTGGAGCGTGTGACCAGTCAGAACCCTTCTCACTCCTCTCTCATGTTCTAATACTCTGTGAGTTCGTTTTCTTCTAGTTGATGGTTTACATGCAGATGGCATGGTCCTTCTATCCCCCCATCTGTGGATACTGTTATGATTTTACTTGGGATATCTATTTTAGAATTTTTGTCTGTTTTATGATCCATCTCTGATTCATTCTTGAGTTTTTTCTTCATAGCGATATGAATGTTTATTATGTAAGAACCACAACTGACGCAATTAAGGTTAGCATTAAGTTTTCCCCTGGCTTCCTATTTTGATCGTTTCTTTTCCTTCTTTCTCAAACATCTGGCTCTTGATTATTTCTCCAGTCTTCATTGCAACTGGCTGTGATTTGGTCTAAAAAAAAATCCAGCATAACATTTAAAAAATGTAGGCTATCTAGATTTCAACATTATTTTGAGGCTGAGTGTAATGACTTCTAAGTGACAATCTCTCTCTGGAAACATGCAGCTATGTGTACTTAATTAAAAGCTCATCCTCTAATCTCCCCCATTAATTTCTCCCCTTTCCCTCCCCCACCCCATAAAGCAACAACAACATAGCAAACAGGTGTTGTACATTTAAGTCACAGGTAACACTGTCAACGGAACAACAGAAGTTTGCACACAACTCCGTGGAATGGTACAAAAGGAGCTGGTTGGCATCCTAAGATCCTTCGATCCAGCACCTGCTGAAGTGACAGCTCAAACCAAGCATCAGGTCATCGCGTTAGCCCTGTCACAGGTTAGCTGAGGAACCTGGGCCGAGCTCAGCAGGCAGTTTCACCACAGCCTTCACAGACACGGCAGGAGCTGGGGGGCACGATGGATTGCAGGAGGAGGGGGTGGGTGGGGCGAAGCTGGAGTTATGGGGACATTTCAGGTGTTAGTACATTAAGCATGCAAATCATATGCAAACTCATTCTCAAATGTTTCATTAACTCAGGCACTTTTGTAATTGAACTTCAATGTGCGTTCCATACACTTAAAGCAGAACTACAGCCAAATGCTGATCCAAATATTTACATCATCCAGCATACACTGTAGCAGCCATTTTGGGAATAACGGGCCCCAGCACATACCACTTCCATCTGGAAATACGAGATAACCACTTGAAGAAATGAGTGGCACATCCATTTGACTCTGTTTGGCAACAGCATCATCTGTTCTCTCAGGATTTCACTTTGTCCAGAAATCACAAACCACCTGCTTTGAATCCGGAGTGATCAGACGGGACCTCCCCCTCGTGGTTGGGGGAGGAGATAATTATAGGGAAGAGAAATATAATCCTTACTTTACTTTCTTGCTGGCCTTGAAACATTGCTCGAGTCCAAATATTTTTAAATTCTCTATGTGGCTGAATCTACCTTTTCTGGAAATAGAAATTGAGTTTGATTATACTTAGTGCTATTTCCAGAAGTTCATTTTCAAACGGAGGGTAAAGTGTTCTTCATATTGAATTGGTAAGGAAATAAATTTCTTTTCTTCCTGGATATTCATCAACTGTTTTTTTTTTTTTAAACCTTAGAGCTAAGAATACTTAGAAGACTCAGCTCAGGTGTCGCATTTTCCCTCTGGAATTAATTTAACAGGGACGACGGACTTGGCATCATACTGCAGTGAAGGACACCTGTGGTCTTGGCCCTCAGGTGGGATTCAGCGTCCCCTAACTGATTGACGGTAGCAACAAAAGAGTTCAGAGAACAAGGGTGCTTTAGGTCTCAGCTCTCCTGTAGGTTGAATTACAGCAGGAACGAGCTAGGACAGTGGTCATCAGTAAACTCATTAGTCAACAGAGCCAAATATCAACAGTACGATGATTGAAATGTCTTCTGAGAGCCAAATTTTTTAAACGTAAACTTCTTCTAACGCCACTTCTTCAAAGTAGACTCGGCCAGGCCGTGGTATTTTGTGGAAGAGCCACACTCAAGGGGCCAAAGAGCCACATGTGGCTCACGAGCCGCAGCTTGCCGACCACTGAGCTAGGAGGAGGTGGGCAGAGTACTGACTATCTGGGGTTTGGCCTTGTATGTAAAATAAATTCAAACTATTAGCTTCTGTTAAATAGTACACTGGTACCTAGATAATACCTATATTTTTCAGGTAAATTTTAGGAACTAATAATCTTTCAGTTAAAAATGTTTCCTAAATATGAAATAAAAATCAAAGAGATCGAAAAGGTCTTTGGCCTCAAATAATAATTTATAATAAAACTTTATCTTTAATGAAAAGTAGATCTAAACATGGGTACAATGAAGCAATGATGTTTAATCAGAATAAAAAAATGAAACAAGAAATGTCTGGGGTAAATTCTGTCATATTTTAAACTACCACTGACTGGCAGTATTCTTTAAAAAGCTTAAGTAATTACATAAGAATAATGGAAAAAATTCAAGCCACTCTTCCTAAATATGTTCAGGTTATCTCTTTAGAGTTTAAATACTTAGAGAAAAACTTTTCCTTTAGGCTCTTGTATTGAATGATCTTAATGTTTCAATAATTGGGCAGTGGCTTAAAACAATTTCCTTGGTACGTATTTATTATTTCCTTTAGGATATATCAATTACACAGAGGAAAATGTATTTTATTAACTATGCCTTTAAACTCAAATAAAAATTAACCTTCTAATAGAAAGAAAAAGTATAATTTGCCCAGCCGATATGACTCAATGGTTGAATGCTGACCTGTGAATCATTGGGTCACATGCCTGGGTGGTGGGTTCAGTCCCCAGTAAGAAAAAGCATGATTTGAGATTAAAATTTTAAATGGAGAACTGATTCTGTGTAACAGGTATTTACCAACCGCCAACTAGAAATCCATAGTTGGGCTGAATCTGAAAGATCATATAATTGGGTCGTATTTAGTACGATGCCATTAAATTAAGTTTCTCAGATCACCAGCTGAAAAATAGAAAACTAGGAGCTGAGTTTAGTTATAACACAGGAAAATAATTCACAGAAGTCTACAGATAGGTTTTGATTGCATGGCAGAGTCCAAAGCAGCTTTTAAACTTTGTATTATTTCAAAAAGGTAGCAAAGCTGCATGGTTTTAGTACAAATACACCAAATGCCTAAGGCAGATGTTGAAATATCTTATCGTATAGCTTCCTCCCTCCAGAAAAGGAAACGGAAGATACTACATATTCTAGAGAATACAAAGGGGGAAGCATTCTCTGTATTCTTATTTTCTTCTTGAGAAAAATTATTCCCTTCCTAAGGATGCCAGTATGTAAAAGCCATAGCTATGACTTGGATTTCTAACACGACAGGAAGGCATGGTATCA